CACTTCTGGAGACACTAGTTAATATTCTGAACTAATATGTTTCTCTATAATATTCCTGTTGGATTTTTCTAAAATTATACAGTGTCGTATGGAGTAATGAATTTTGAATAATGTATTAAATAACGGTGCTTCGTCAAAATTTCATAGTATCTCTATGCATAGCTAAGCTTCCAATTTAAGGTTTCAACGTATTAAATTTTGCAGAAAAATGCACAAATGGATGCTGAGTTTCTTGCCTCCCATCCTGGAGTTACGAAAATAATGTATCCTGGTTTTCCTAGTCATCCTGGATATGACTTGCACCACTCTCAGGTATAATTTGCCTGCTAAAATTATACTACTTTCGGTCCTAATTATAAGAACTAGTTGACTAATTTGATGAAATTAAGGAAATAAATTAAGTTAGTTATTTGTAATAAATAGATATTGTCTTTCCTAAAATATCCTTGCTAATCAAGTATATTGGTTAAAACTATCACTATTAGAAAGACTAACTTGGAAAAAAATATATAAATATGAGAGACAAAGTGGATTGGGGTCTTATATTTAGGATTAAAATAAAAGTCAAACGAGATCTTATATTAAGGACCGGAGGTAGTATATTAATTTTTTTTATTATATATGCTTGAAATAATTTTAGTCATTAATTGAGTTACTATTTCATAGGCGAGCGGGCCAGGATCTGTGCTTAGCTTCACGACAGGCTCACTATCGCTCTCAAAGCACATTGTTGAAAGTACCAAATACTTTAGTATGACTGTTAGTTTTGGTAAGTCTTTTTTTTTTTTTTTGTAGTATACATTTTCATGTAAATTGTTATCATTTATACATATTATTTCCCTTTGAGACTTCTCTATCATAGTTAACCCAAATGGTAAGATAGCAGGGAATGATAGAGACTTCAGTTGCAAATGGAAAATTTAAGAGTTAGCATGTCAAAATTTGATATTGTATAGTTCTCTATCATAATTTCTTGTATTCCTTTCTCCAAGGTTATTCTATCAATAACTAAAATCATCCTGGTAGACCATATTAACAACCTTACAATTATGAAGAAATTAATTCAAAATTTAAGTAAAGGACATTTAAAGAAATTAATGTGTTTAGACTGAGGGTATTATATTAAAAATTAGGGAGGAAAGAATACTTAAAAAAATCCCCAAAATAGTAAATTTTATTATTATTATTATTTTAGAAATTTTTTCTTCCCATTATTCCCTCCCTCCCACTTTCCTTTCACTTCTCCCTCCATCCAAACATAGCGATCGTGAGGAATTGATATAATGATAAGAATTGGTCTTCTAATAATAAGGAGGAATTGGTCTTATAATAAGAATTGTTAGATCTACATTTAGAGGATAAGCTTGATGTTACAAAATATAATGCTTAAACTCTTGTGAATTTTGTTGGTATTGTCAGGGAGTGTTAGTTCATCGATATGCTTGCCTTGGTATACTTCACATGCTGTCATTCCTGAAGAAGAGCGTATTCGCGTGGGTTTAACTAAAGATCTTGTACGTATTTCTGTGGGGATTGAGGATGTTGCTGATCTTATTACCGATCTTGACAAGGCACTCTCATTTGGATCACTATAATTTTCATATATTCCGACTTGCTCTTGCTTCAGATCATATGGTGCTCTCATTTTGGTTCAATTGAGGATTTTGTTTATTTGTTAGTTGCATTATCACGTTCCCATTTCTTTTTCTTTTTTTACCTATTTGTATAGCAATTTGTCATAACAACTTGGAATAATAAGCTTATTAAAGCTTTTATAGTGTTGGGATACTTTAGACCAAAATAAATGTGCTTTCGTTGAAATTTGATGAATGAGGACACTGGTTTGAATGACCTTTAATGCTTTTAGTTATTCAGATATTTACTTATTTTTTTATTTATATTTTCTCTCATCCATTCAAATAAGAGGGTTCATAATATTTTGAAATTTTTTTGAAAAAATACCTTTAAAATTTCAAAATTCCAAATTAGAAATGATTACAAAAATAAGTTGTTATTTGCTTTTCAAATACAGTCAATTGCTATTAAAGTATGGTAAAAAATTGATTTGAAATTTTAAATTTTAAAGATATTTTTTTAGGGTTCTCCCTAATATTTTTTCTCCTCTCTATTTTCTCTCTTCCCAACTTTTATTGCAATCCAAACCTAGTGGTACAGAATCACCAATTCAAGAAAGACCCTACTCTCTCAAAACATTGGGAAACAGAAAGATAGTAAATGATGAAGATAAAACTAACAATGCAAATGCAAGCATCAACACTGAAAAAAGACACTGACATTAACAATTAACAACCAATAAGATGTTAAAAAAAAAACAACTATCATCTAAAATCTCTACGTGAATTTACAGGTGGAAACAGGCTGGGTGGCCTGTTAGGGGCTTATGGCCTAACCTTTATTTGGTCTAGCCTAGCTCAGGCCTGTTTAACTTAATAGGCCAGGCTTAGACTCTCTAAAAGACCTATTAAGCCTATTAGGCTAACCTGGGCTGTTAGAAATTTATAATTATAATATATAAAAAAATTAGTTAATGGTATTGTTAATGTGCTCTTTTAATTTATTTTTTAATTTTAATTTATAGTTAATAGCTTAGTTCTTCCTTAGATTTTGAAGTTTAGTTAACAAGTGAAGATAAAAATATAATTTAAAATAAAATATCAAGAAATAATATGATCTTTAAATCTTAAAAATATAAATAAAATAGGAAAGAAAAATTATGTTCCAAGAATGATGTATTAATTAACTTATGTATTATGTTAATTAAATTATGATACTCTCTTTATTCAATGTAAAATTAATAGTTTTTTCTCTTTATTTATTTGTCTTTTTTTTTTGTACTTAAACATAGTCTTGTCCCAAATTTCAACATACAACTAAAACTAGTTTTCAATAATATCCTTGTAAATTGTAATTAAGATTAAAATAGTACTTATGATGCTAAAAGTTAAATAAAAGACAAGACTAAAAAATTAATTATTATGCACGCTTCTTTTAATTTTCGCCTTTTTTCTAAAAAATATCATTGTAATCTGAATTTTTTTTAAAATACAGGCTTTTTAACAGGTTTCAAGTCATGTCAGACCTTTATACAAACTAGGCTCAAGCTTAAGGATAAGCCTGTAACAGGCCACAGGTCAGGTGCAGGCCTATAGGTTACAAAACAAGCCTCGCCTGTTAAGAGTAAGACCAGGCCTGTTTCCACCTTTTTACGTGAACTAATCACTAGACCGCTATAAGGTTTATAGAATATATAGATTATATGATCATTCTTCAATTTTGTTAATTATTTTCAAAATCTCCTTTTAATACTCTATACTTTTTCATATTGTTAAGAATGGATCGTAAAATATTTTAATTTTTTCTGAATAATTAAAATTTATAACTTTATAATGTAAGTTTTATTATCTTCATCTCTAATTGAAAAAAATATTTTAAATAATTAAGGGAGAAAGACATTTTAAGATCTACCAAATATGATAATTTCGAAATGATTTCTTGCAATGACTTAATTTCATTGAAGTTTTTAGAGAATATTCTAGAATTAATATTTTTGTGAAATAATCTAATTATTCTTTGTGAAATTAGTTATTATTATTGGGAAAATGACAAGAAAATGACTGTTGAATTCTAAAATGACAAAATGGGCATGTAAATTACTGAAATGACAAAATGGGCATGGGGTATCAATATGGAATTTGGATAATTCGCCAAAAAGATTGAAATGCCCTCAATTTTTTCGGAAGTCAAAGGGCAGGATATTGTGCAACGGAACTGGAGTTTGGTTGGCGGTTCTCCACTCAGTGAAACTGCATAGACCATAGGGTTCTCCGAACTCTCACATTGCACTCGGCGAAACTGCATATGGTTGTCGCAAGTCTCACATTACCATGGTTGAGGAACTGTGAACGAGGAATGTGAATAGCGTCCAGCTTCTTCGTCTTTTCCGTGGGTCGCAGTGAGAAGCAATAAACCAGTGACAAGCTTCAATCTTCAGAAGGGAGAGGGGGTGGCTAGAGAGAGAGATTCTGAGGGAGAGCACCTGTAAGGTCGTCACCGGTTGAGGAAGAAGTCGATATTCGTTCCGACCTCGGTAAGCCACCTAAATCTCTCCGTCTTGTGCTTGTCTGATTGGAGTGTTTTGATTTGGGGAAAACGATGAATGTTGGTTGTAAAGTGGGGGAAGCAATGGTAAAGGCTTAAAATGGAATGTAAAGGTAGATTAGATTAAAAGTCGGTGCTTTTGTGTGTGACGGAATTACAGAAGTTGTTTGCTTGCTCTGATTCATATAACTCGGTCCATGTTTGACGAGATATCTCTCTGATTGTTGTTGTCTGATTGCTGTGTTGCTGTAATGTTGGAAGGCATAATATACGTGTGTGTTTATGATTGCTACACTACTTTTAGAAGCCCATAAATTGAGACCACTGTCGCACATGAGCCAGTGGATGCTTCCTGTTTCCGCCCCCTTGTTTGGTCTATTCGTGTAATGGACATTGCACATTTTTAGCATTGTGTATGGGACTAAAATGAGTTCAACTATATCCCCATATTGGTTATGCAAATTTAACATTGTAAAATAAATTGAAAGGGGTGACTCTTCGTGGGTAGAACTCTGTTTTGAAGATATAGCTACCTAATGGGCATAACCTCAGTCATTTAGCGGTGCAATTTACCTGGGGATGAACATGCATATTCATTTCAGTATGTACCAAGTGAGAATAACCTTTGTGGCCTTCTTATGTATTGCTATTATTTACTTGGTCATCTGTGGCACTGTGTAGTAGTAATTTCCATAATATAAGTTACTTGAAGATGCAAATTTTGTAACATTTCATCGAGAAAGAATCACTTTTGATGCATATTCATTTATTTTTTAATCTGTTGGTCTGAGGATTGAAGAGGTAGAGATTAATCTGCTGGTTTGAGGATTGAAGAGGTAGAGGTCGCTGAAGTGCTGAGAAGCATCAATCGCATTGCTGTCATGGAGGAGGTTGGCGAAGTAACTGTGACTGTGACAAACGGTAATATGCATTGTAATAGGAATTGAGTGGTTGAGTTATATAGGTTTGGTAAGATTAGATTGTTTTTAGTTTGTTGTTAAAGTGTATTATGTCATTAGTCTCTATTTTCTGCTCTGTTCTGTGAAGTGAGAAAGAAGCAATAACATTCATTACGTGATCAGCAAATTTAGTTATCTGAGTAGTAAATAGTCGAGGTTCATTTTGTGGCTAAATAACAACACCTATAATGTGAATGACTACACTGGAAATGGTAATGACAACTTTTTTGAAATGCAAAGAAAGTTGAGCTGTTCAACTGACCAGATTTAGTTATTTATGCTTGTTGTAGAAGGAGGGCCAAGTGAAGAAGTGAAGAATGGCTACATGTTGTTTAGACGAGAATTTCTTAAGGGTGGGGAGAAGTTTAAGAATATGTCTGAACAAGTGAAAAAGGCATCAAAGGCATGGAAGCAGTTGACACCAGAGGAGCAGAAGAAATACAGTGATAGGGTGAAGCAATCAAGAAAGGAAGGGATGAAGAAGAAGAGGAAGAAAAAAGTGGCTTTTAGCACTCGTTGCTCGGTTCGGCAATTTAAGTCATTAGTGGACTTCATAAAAGATGATGAAGATTTGAAAGTGAGGGTACAAAATTTAGGCTTTGGCCATTTACTTGACATTGGATGTGAGAGACTCCCTCGTGACCTCATAGTATGTGTTCTCCGAGCATATGATCCGCCTACCCATCAATTTCTAATAAGAGGGATAATAAAGGAAATAGAAGCAAATGATGTTGCAAACTTGTTGGGTGTACCCCACACAGGGGAGAAGGTAAAAATGGACGTATGTGATGATGATGAGACATACCAGAGGTTGAAGGAGGAATTTGGTAAAGTCCCTTATACGAAGATACTCAATGACATTAAATCTGGGCAGAAGAAAGATGAGTTTGAGTTCTTGTTTATGCTGTACACACTTGGGAGTTTTTTAACTCCTACTTCACAAACAACTGTGAGTGACAAGCTAATAAGAGTCATGTGCTGTACCATGAAGGGATTTCACCAATTTGATTGGGCCACGTACATTGTGAAGCACTTGTGGAAAGAGATGGGAGATTATGTGAAAGTGTACACAAAAGCAAAGAAAGACGAAGATGAAGATGAAGGAAGCTGCAATGTGGGAGGATGCATCTACCTCCTGTTGGTATGTATTTCTGACTTATGCTTCTAAGTTATTGTTTTCTTTATTTGTGGAATTGGCAAGTTAATGATTTACTCTTGTAGTTATATTTTGCTGAGCACTTCCCACTATCCAAAACTGTTGAGAGAGGGTCCCTAAATGCCATTCAATTCTGGACTGATGAGAAGATAAGGAAGCTGGAAAAGAAGGAGAGGGAAAGCAAGAGGGGTTTACTGTATAAGGGCAAGGGAAGTATGGATAGAAGTGGGAAGGATGAAGGAAAACGCAGAAGTGTGGGTCATTTACACCCGGTATGTGCTTTCATTACTAATTTTCATTCTCATTCGCAAATAATCTCATGAAAAAAGTGTTTACTCATTTTAAATTGTTTGCTGCAGGAGTTATAGAAGTTGCACGGACGATTGATGGCTCAGATTGAATTAAGCACTAGGAGGCTTATAAGTGCAATGAAGATGAGCTGGATAAGGTGCAGATAAGGATAGGGAAAATAATGTGACCACAGATGATGAGGACCCTATTGACGTCCCAGATGATGATAAGGGAGATGATGATGCATTTGGCGATGAGGACCCCCATGATCATGATGGACATGAGTCTGATCATGAAGGTGATGATAGAGATGAGTTCCACAAGGGAGATGATCAGGGAGACGATGATGCAACTGGCTCAGATAGAGGTGATGACATCAGTGTTGCAGCAAAAGGTGCAGACAAAGAAATTATGGAGTCTCCCCTGCCCTTTTCCCCCATGGACAAGGGATGTCAACTCCAAAGGTCGCAAAGGGAGATGAAATCCGCTATCAATTCTCCATGGATTTTGACAAAGCCAATTAAGAGGTGAAAGAGGCCCATAGATGACAAGAACCGGTTTTATGACATAGTTTCCCGTATGTGTTCAAGTAAGGAGGGTGACATGTATGTACATATCCACTTCCCACGTAATCATATTCATTACAGTTTTGTGCTAATTGATTACATGCATAATGATGTTGACAACATATTTTTAGGCCTTTGGTGAAAATCTCTGATGAAGATATCACTCGGGATCAGCTAAGGACACTTGGTGGAATTGAGAAAATAGGTAACCGGGTAAGTAGAATATTTGTGATGAGGTCATTTAATTGTTTAGTAGATGCTGTGTTTTGGGTTCATCAAAACAATCATCTCTTTGCGTGCAGCTGATGTCAACTGTGTGCAAGACTCTAATGGCTGATATGGAGAACGAAGGGCAGGTGAAGCGGCACATTTTTTATGCTGACTTTATGGTAAGCTTGCTGAGATATTTTTTTTTGTCGATTGATATTGATAAATGACTAAAATGTTCATGTTTTAGGCAATAATGGCAGCTAACCCAAAGCTGTGGGATGCTACAAAACGGAAGAAACAATTTTTACCTGAAAATGTAAGCTACAATATAGGAGAATGTGATTTGATCTTTGGACCCACACTTGTTGGCACTCACTGGTTCTGTGTTGTGCTTGAGCCTAGCATAATGAATTTCTATGTGCTGGACTCAATGAAGCCAAATTTAGAGGGTAAGAAGAAGAGCAAGAAGAAGGGTGTAATTATTGATGACATGACGACCGTGGTCACTGAATGTGTAAGGATAATGCAACTCATCTTCTATGATTGACATTTCATTTACCTTTTATTTACAATTGCGTAATGATATTGTGCAGAGGAATAGATTTTATGATATTATTGAGATAGTTAAGCCTAATGCCACTAGGAAGAAGAAAATGAGTGATATCATTTGGGCTCCTGTTCCGCAACAAAACAATCTGTGAGTAGTTTATGTTGTTGATATTATTACGTCTCAAAGCAGCCCAATGTGTTATTTTCATTCTTTTACATCGTTGGGATGTTTTCATGTGCAGGCGAGACTGCGGCGTTCATGTATTAATATGGTTGAGTAAATGAAAGCCCGGTGAGATACTTCACTATACGGATGAACAAGTGGCTGAATTCCGACGAAACCTCATGTGGTGGCTAATGAATCATGAGCTTAATTCAAGAAGTAATGAAGCATTAAGCTTGCTTTCATCAACCCAAGCCACCATACTGACCAAAAGACGGCATCTGTGATAGGAGGAGACATTATGTAGATTAGGCATATAGTTCTTGTAAAAGCAGTGCTAATTTGAAGTCTTAATATTTGACTTATGGTTGGAGGTACTAAGTGGCTGCCAGTTGTTGGCCTAATTGCAATCCTTTTTGGGATAATTTGAGTAAAAAAGTTATGGTATTTACAACATGCCATGTGATTTCCGTGATGATAATCACAAGTTGATTATTTGTGCCCCAAATTACATCTACTTGGACCCAGGTTCACTACACAAGTAATAGGATTAACAACTTTCGGATTGAGAATTGCAACCTCTGTAATGATAGTTACCACATCGCTGTTGCCATTTGCATCTGAAGTCTTTCAAGCCCAAATCACGTTTTTTGAATCCATTTTTGCTACCCCAGTAATAATAATGACAACATTTATACTGATAATTGCAACTTATGTAATGATAGTTACAATCTTCCTATTGCCTTTTTCAACTCTGCATGTTCATACTAAGTAACACTTTTTTAACGAAAACCCACTACCCCGGTAATGATAATCACAACATTGTAATGAACTTTGCAACTTTTTTAATGATTGTTACCACCTCGCTATTGCTTTTTGCAACTGCATTTTCATCCCCACGTATAAATTGTCACAGAATTTCATAACCTAGGTAATGAAAATCACAACATTGTTAAGGGAAATTGCAACTATAGTAATGAGATTTACCATTATGGTTTCCCCATTTGCATCCCCATGTTCAGGAAATTGTCCCATTTTCGATTCCTTTAAGTCAAACCCACACATCAAATTGTTTAGGAAATTTTACTACCCCTATAATGATAATGACAACATTGGAAATGTTAATTACAACTTCAGTAATGAGATTTACCAGTCTGCTTTTCCCATTTCTGGTTCCCTTAACTCAAACCTACGCATCAAATTGTTCAGGGAATATCACTACCCACGTAATCATAATGACAACATTTGAAGTCTTAATTGCAACTTCACTAATGCGATTTACCAGTCTGCTTTTCCCATTTCCGGTTCCTTTAACTCAAACCCACGCATCAAATTGTTCAGGAAATTTTACTACCCCTGTAATGATAATGACAATATTGGTAATGTTAATTGTAACTTCAGTAATGAGATTTACCAGTATGCTTTTCCCATTTCCGGTTCCCTTAACTCAAACCCATGCATCAAATTGTTCAGGAAATTTTACTACCCCTGTAATGATAATGACAACATTGGAAATGTTAATTGCAACTTCAGTAACGAGATTTATTAGTCTGCTTTTCCCATTTCCGGTTCCCTTAACTCAAACCTACGCATCAAATTGTTTAGGGAATATCACTACCCACGTAATTATAATGACAACATTTGAAGTCTTAATTGCAACTTCACTAATACGATTTACCAGTCTACTTTTCCCATTTCCGGTTCCTTTGATTCAAACCCACGCATCAAATTGTTCACAAAATTTCACTACCCCCGTAATGATAATGACAACATTGAAAATCTTAAACGCAACTTTAGTGATGATATTTACCACTCTGCTTTTTCCACTTCCACTTCCTTTATTTCAAAGTCAAGTAACATATTTTCAGGGAGTTTCACTAGCTCGAAAATGATAATAACAACATTGGTAATGTGAACAACAACATCGTTGATGGCATTAACCACTCCAGTCATACCCATTGGCAACTTCCACCATCTCCCTCGAGGGCATTAAACAAAAGGTCATCTGTGTTGACAAAATAGCATAGAAGTACACCTGAAGAGCATCATAGGATGTCTACATTAACATTCAGACTTTACTACATGTGTAATGGAATTGACCACTGAAGTGACAATATTTACCAAAAACCAGTAGGCCCATTACAGAAGCTACATAACTTATATTCAAATGACAAGTTAACAGTAAGATTAACCCACCACCTAATGTTTCCTCGTCATTCACATTACAAAACATATCCTACCCAGTGAATATCATTTACAAAAAGGATAGCCTACCCATCATACGATTTTTACATTAACATTTAGACTTTACTATATCTGTAAAGGAATTGACCACTGAAGTGATAATATTTACCAAAAACCAGTAGGCCCATCACAAAAGCTACATAACTGATATCCAAATGACAAGTTAACATTAGGATTAACCCACCACCTAATGTTTTCTTGTCATTCAGATTACAGAACATCTCCTACCCAGTTAACATCATTAACAAAAAAGATAACCTACCTATCAATCCTTCTCCCAAAAAAATTAAAAAGGATTCAAGAGTCATTCCATTCCTATTAAAAAAAAATTACCCCTATTGGTATTGACATGAAACCTTAAGTTGGGCTTGGATTCTTGCATGTTCTTATGTGGCCAACTTGCTGGCATGCACTACAATGGTATACCTTCTTGTTTTGAAACTGCAACTCTTGCCTATTTATCCTAGGCCTTCCAGGCGGTCGACTAGTCAAAGGTGGTGCCAAAAACACTTGACCTGCTATATCTTGCAGCCAATAGTTATTAGGATTTGGCATGTCGATTGTCACCACTAGAGTCATCGTCCTACCATAAATCTTTTGTTGGGATGTAATCTTGTAGCATTTTTCAACAAAATCATACACATTGCAATTCAAGGCCTTGATAGCTGCACATGCATGTAGGCATTTGATGCCTGACATTTCCCAAGCTGCATAGCTATGTTCACCTTTTTCAAGATCAACATTAATGGCTCCTTTTGCTGTATGGACACACACCCTACCCCTTCCGTAAGGAACACTTAACATTTGTGCAGATCTTGCCACATTTTCCATCAATGTTGCATTTGTATTTGGGCCTACACCATTCTTCCATTTGCTCATTGCCATGCTTGCTGTATACATTTTCTTGGCTACTTTTTCATGATGCTCATGTATAAGTTGGGCAACATTATATCTTCTCTCCTTCAGCATCCACGCATTGAATGACTCTGTAAGGTTTATTGTTATGTTGTCCCATCATTTAAAAGGGAACTTGCTTAAGGCCCACTTATGAATATCACCATAATTGACAAGCCATTCAAATAATTGGGAATTGAAGTGTCTCATGTTATCTATTGCTTGATCAAACTCTGTGTCAATCCTTGCATATGCAATGGCATCTAGGAAATGTAGTCCATCCTCCCTTGTGTTGCTACTTGTCTTCCTTTTTCCTTTATTTAACTTGATCATTTGTGTACTGAAATTCTCCTTAATATGTCTGTAATAGTATGCATGTCACTCACCTCCGAATATTGCTTGCACAGCACCTATAATTGCATTGTGTCGGTCTGAAATGATTGTTAATTGCATTGACCCAACTATCTCCTTAATCATATGTAAGAACCATGTCCAATCCTCAAGCGTCTCTCCCTTCACAATCGCAATGGCAAAAGGTAATAATTCATTGTCCGCATCATAAGCCGACGCTGAAAGTAGCGTCCCCTTATACGGTCCACTTAAATGACTTCCATCAATATACAGTACATGTCTAGCACCAGCAATAAAACCCTCTATACAACACCCATAGGCTATGAACACACGCTCAAATCTGTTGTTCCTTGCAGCCACCCATTTTGCCACTGTTTTGTTATCGGTTTCCTTCAACCGGTCACATATCTATGGAATAAGCATGTAAGTTTGATCAGGTCTACCATGTATGTCCTCTAACACTTTTTCCTTGGCCCTGCATGCTTGCTTGTATGTCAACTTCACACCATAATCTCTTTCCAACCTCTTTTTTATATCATTTGGATGCATGTCTATATGATTCCTAACCTCTTCAATTATAATTGATGATGTCAAGCTAGCTGATCCACCATGTGTCACGTGAAAATTGTTTTGGGCATTATGAACATGCTCATTTTTAAATGTTGTTACACGTAAAAATGTTGGAGTACTCTTTCCAGTTGCTCTCGCACTGATCCTCCATGGACAACCTTCAACATTGCATTTGACATACATATGGGCATTAGAATTCTTCACATATTTATACTCAAATTTGTTTGCAATGCTGATTTTGTGTAGTTTCTTCTTGAAATCATCCGCATCTGAAAAAGTCTGCCTCAATCCTAACAATACTGTCTTCCATTTCAGGGAATTCATTCCTAGCAAAGGAGTTGGTGCACTCTCTACTGCATATGGCAGGCTAAGAACATTTTCAGCTACTATGTAATTCACACATTCGACAGCATCCTCAATCATTGGCTCATCATTTTGCTGTGACAGTCCCGACAATTTTGACATACTGCATGTATAATCACAACATTTGTTATGATATTAACAACAACATTATCGCAAGTAACAACTTCCATAATCATAAACTTGTGACTTACCTGTTTCGATCAGCCACTTCTTCCTCTGTATTCTCATTACCTTTAGTTGCTACGTAAACATGTGCATTACTATCATGATACTCAAATAAGTTGTCAACTTCATCATCATCAATAAGATCTATTAATATCCTATCATTCAAGCCCAATGTGTATTTAATGTCGCAACCATTACTATCTACACCAAACCATTCTCCTATCATAACCATTAAATCTTCAAGCCTT